ACACCGGACAGGTAATTTTAATTGTTCAACTAAATTCTTTGGGCTATTAGAATTTTGAGGGTTATGTATATGCAAGAGTATTAGATTTGTGTTTTTATAAACAATAAAGTTAACTTTAAATGTATTTTTCGAAAACTATAATGAAAAATCAACTTATGTTACTTTCAACATCAAGAAAATAAAATACAATGAGTTAAAATTTATAATTAACAGCAACGCTCTTTACTAGTTACCAAGAAGTTCTTGCTCTCACCTCAGTTGTCACAGAAAGAACGATAACCCATGGGCACAGGAGAAGCACAGAAACAAGATGGGATAAAGCCTGAAGACGCTTGGGTCCACCAACATCTAGAGAGAGCTTTCTGGAAGCTGTGTGAAAACCAACTTTACAGCACAAAGCCAGTACTAACAACAAAACTCCACCCTACAAGTAAAATGAGAAGCTCATTAGAAACAGTTCAATACCGAATTCATACATACATTATACACTCGAAGGGGAGTAACCAGCATTCTTCTTTCCATGGCTCAAATTGCTTAATACAACTACAACAATGGGAAGATTGTCAATTACCTATTTAAATGCACATACCTTGTGATCTGCCACACCTAAGAAAGCAATGGCTGTGTAGAGCATGTGAGTGAGAGCACTGTCATGATGCCCTTCAGCTAAGTGAGTTCGAGTAAAGGAAAACATGCCAACTACTAGTCCACTGACTTGTGAAGTCTGCCTGGGAATTTCGTCAAAGTACTTTAGGTTCAATATAGGTAATTCTAGGGACAGAACACCTAGCTACTCTCATTAACATGTTACTTCTGAAAAAAACAACAACCCCAAAACCAAAAACTCCATCAATTTAAAAAGTAATTTCAGGAGTGGACTGTAATTCTCTGAAACAACTACAATAGTGTTTCAAAGAGAACTCCTAAATTTCGGTACATAACCTCTTCAGAAGCCCTGGTGGTTCAAACCCACCAGATGCTCTGAGGGAGTAAGCTGAGACTGTCTGTCCCCATAAAGATGTACAGTCTTGGGAAGCACATAAGGGTTGTTATGAGTTGGAAGTCAAAGAGCTGAACAGAACATTTCAAAGGGCAACTTTAGAATACAAAGTCAAATATTATAATGAAATGTGCAAAGACTTAAAATATGTGTATCTTAAACTGTAAGAACTGAAGAAAAAAATTGAAGTCTCAAGTTGCAAGATCGAAACATTTTATGGGCAAAATACTGAATGACATAGGAAGCATCCAAAGGAAACAGAAACAATTTACAGAGTCACGGTGCCAAAAAGCACTAGTTGACGTGCCACCATTCCAAGAGGTAGCATATGAACAAGAAGCTGAAGGAAGAAGTTCAAGCTGCACTGAAAGCACCAGTCACAAACAAGCTCCAAGAATTGATGATGATGAAATACCAATTGAAATGAAGCATTGGAAGCAGTCACTTGTTTAAGCTGAGAAATTTTGAAGACAGCTACATGGCCAAGTGACGGGAAGAGATCCATATTTGTACCCCTTCCATAAAAATAATAAAAAAAGGCAACTCAACAGAATGCTCAAATTATAGAAAAATATCACTGACATTACATTCAAGTACAATCTTGCTGAAGATCATCCAACAATGGTTACAACAGAGAGCTGCCAGAGGTATAGGCTGGATTCAGAAAGAGGACACGCCCGGAACAAAGGTTGTCAAAGCTGAAAGCAAATACCAAAAAGATGTTTACCTGTATTTCATTAACTATGCCAAGGCATTAGACTCGTGGATCACAACAAGCCATGGATAACCTTGAGCAGGACAGGAATGCCAGCTCACTTAACTGTGCTTATTTGGAACCTGCACATGGATCAAGAGGCAGTTGTGGGAACAGAAAATAGGAATACTCCAAACCAAACTCATCCGTCAATGAGTAGATTCCAACTCACAGCAACCCATTAAGATAAGGTAGAACTGCACCTGTGGGTTTGAGACTGTACCTCTCTAGATCAGTGGTTCTCAACCTTCCCAATGCCGCGACCCTTTAATACAGTTCCTTACGTTGTGGTGACCCCCCAACCATGCTACTTCATAACTGTAATTTTGCTACTGGTATGAATCAGGCAACCTCAGCAATTCTCAACCAAAGGGGTCATGACCCACAGGTTGAGAATTGCTGCTCTAGATGAACAGAAAGCCTCATCTTTCTCACATAGTTTAAAATCAGGAAAGGTGTGCATCCTCTCACCATGTTTATTCAACATGTGTACTGAACAAAATATAATCAGAAAAGTTGGATCATATAAAGACTGAGGTATCAGGATTGGAGGAAGGCTTATTAACACCCTGTGATATGCAGATGAGACAATGCTGCTTGCTGAAAGTGAGGAGGACACGAAGTATTTGCTGATGAAGATCAAAAATTGCAGCCTTCAGTATGGGTTACAACTCTGTGTAATGAAAACCAAAATCCTCAAAACTGCACAATTAGTAACATGATAAATGGAGAAAAGAGTGAATTTATCAAGGATTTAATCTTGCTTGGGTCCACAATCAATAATCATGGAAGCAGCAGTCATAAGACCAAATAATGCATTGCATTAGGTTAATCTGCTGCACAAGACCTCTTTTACAGAGTATTGAAAAGCAAGGATGTTACTTTGAGGACTAAGATGTGCCTGACCTGAGCCATGATATTTTCAATTGCTTAACATGCATGTGAAAGTTAGACATTGAATAAAGAAGACCTAGGAAAAATCACTGCATCTGAACTTCAGTGCTGGCGAAGAATATTGAAAGTCCCATAGCCAAAAGAACAAACAGATGTCTTAGTAGAATACAGCCAAAATGCTCCTTAGAGGCCAGGATGGCAAGACTTCATCTCATGTACTTTGGACATGCCATTAGAAGTCCTTGGCAAAGTAGAGTGGCAGTTTACAGTTAGTAATTGTCACGGACTTAAAATGAACATTTGAATTATACAAGTGTGTAAACAAATTGAGTGGAAAATCATACACTGTTTCTTAGTAACAAATCTTTTGCTCATAGTAGAATAGCTCCATAGAGTTTCTGAGATTGTGAAACTTTAGTGAAGCGGAATGTTTTCTCCCACAGAGCAGCTTATGGGTCTGAACTGCCGGCCTTTGGTTAGCAGCCCATGCTTAACCCACTGTGCCACCAGGTTCCTTCTCCTTTTCTTAGCACCAGGACATTCTAAAATTTTCTTTTGATGTCCCTAAATTTCTGAATATTGAGAATATTGTTAAAGATACTGAAATGCTAAGAAATACTTAATCTACAATGAATTTATTCACTATTTGAGTACTATTTTAGAATACTTGTTTATCTATGAATGTTTCATTCATGAATAACCACATAAAACTACTTGCCCATTCTGTCAATCGTCTGTCTTTCTGTAAGATTTTCAGTAATTAAAAAAAAAGGAAAGATTTTCAGTAATTAACTACAATTTATTACAAAGGATACGGTGTTCAGCCATTTTAGCCATGAGGTCGTCATTGTCGAAAAGCAGTAAGCAGATCACAGCAATAATGAAGAAAGCAGCCCCTCTTGTCTGAAATAAAGAAATATTACTAAGCATGACTTGACTATGATTTACAAATATCATGTCTAAAAGATCCAAATAAACATTTAAAGAAAAACTAAAGCCCTCAAGCTGTATAGTATAAATTTATAGGAGCAGTAAGATATAAAATAACTACAATAAATTCTACAGTATATATGAAAGGCATTTAAGGCATATAATATTGAAAACTTCCCATAATTTCCTTAATATGGCTAGACATGACATTATACACAAACTCTTATTGCTCATAGACAACTTTTTTAAAAAAAATCACTTTTTGTGGGGAGGGGGGCTTGTAAAGCTCTTATCACCATCCATCCATCTATCCATCCATCGTCCATCCAT